CATATCCTGTACCTAGATACAGATCTTTGGGGTATCAGTCACATCAGTCATTCCCCTGTGTTTACATGTGTTACTTGTAAGAACAAGGTGAGCAGGATTTGGATTGTTTTTGGTGGGGATAATGCAATCTGTAACAAGTAGTTCAGTTTGTAAAACTGAAAAATAACTGAAACTGTATAACTAAAAAACAAAAAAAATCTGCAAAACTGGTAAAATTAATTTACCAGACCTTTGAGTCCAACCACGTTTAAAAACAATAAGCTTTATAGCCATTGTAGTTTCTTTTATAAAAACAAGTTGTGTTTTGTTTGTTCTTTTAAGATAAACGATTTTTGCAATTTCATCTGGTAAAATTATGTTGGGGCCTGATCCTGTCAGAGTTGTATACTTGAAACTTCAGTTAAAATATGTGAGTCAAATCCTGCTTAGCTCACTCACATGGGTATCAGCTGCCCTGATTGATTTTACTTCCCAGTTATAAATAAGAAGCAGATTCCTTATGGTTAATTGAGTCTTTAATATCACCATAAAAAGCAGTATGAGATCAGAATCAGCCCTAGCAGGACTACATACACTCACAAAAAGCTAGCCAGACTTTGCCCAGCAGATATTTTGGACTTACAAAGTAAGAATTGCAATTTGTCAGAAGCTTATCCTATATCAAATTTCTCTGTTACAACATCTCTGTTTAAGAAATTCTGTAGTAGTTAAAAACTCTCATGGTTTTCAGCAGATTTTCAGCATCAACAAAAGAGAAATGTGTCAGATTGGCTTTGTATGCCTTTTGTCCTTTCTGTTGCTCTTTTCTAGATTTAGCAAAATTCAATGGTGGTGCTAAATCAATTTTTTTTTTTTTTTTTTTTTTTTTTTTTTTTTTTTTTTTTTTTTTTTTTACTTTCAAGGGAAAAAAAACGCTGGTAAAATTGTGTTTTCTAGGGAAGGCCATGTGTGTAAATGAGAAACAGTGGATAGCAGTGGAGTGATCTCCTGTGGCCCTGCTAGTACAAGCTTTCCCCATATTGTCTCCTGCTTTTATATTAATTACAACTTGCATTATCAGCTGTGAGTCTGTAGCCCAGCAAATAGAAAATACTGCCCCTGGAGACATAGCTTCTTGTATCTATTTTCCATCTCCTTCTATTGTGCTCTACTCAGTATTCACTGCTTTTCTCCTAGTAACACTGCTCTTTAACACAATTAGGTAAGAGCAAGAGGAGTACCATATTTGGCTTCCAATTATTAGAACTACTGGGAATAGATACATGTGTGCTGTTCACTTTCTATGGTATCTGGCATTAGTTTAGGTCATACACGTGAGAAATTTTTATAGTGTGCGCACGTACACAAAATAGAAAATTCCGTTTTGGCAGATGCTATCCACACACTTCAGAGTGTTTCTGCAGTATATTACTAAACTTGCAAGAAGAAACGAGAAGTCATGCTAGCAGTTTGTGTAATTTATCTAAAGGTATATGTTTGGCTTCTTTGTTTCCTTCTTTAAAAATTTTTTTTTCAGCGGGATAACTCAATGCATATTTTCTTGAAACTAACTGAAAAATTGCAACTAATATTAGTGGGCTTTAGACTAGGATATCTTCAGGTACTTGAACTATACTGATGAAGTTTTCCAGTGAAGCACACTTTAAAGATGCCATTTGATCTTTTTTTTTTTTTTTTTTTTTTTTTTTTTTTTTGTGAAGGTGTGCATAAAATAAATACTTATGATAGTCATTAGGCCAAGAATTTTTTTTGAGAGATGTGAGGTTGGAAATGGTCTAGGGGAGAAAAAGATCAATTCACAGACTCGTTCAATGATTTTAGTCCAAACCAAAAGAATTCTGCCTTTTTCTGAGTCTGTAAACTCCACCCCTAAAATTATTTGTCATTTTTTATAATATTAAAGTCTAGCAATTTCTCTCCCTTTCAAATTCCTTCAGCATTCTACTGTTGCATTTAGTAAATATCTTATCTTATATATTCTGTCCTCCAACAAAACTCTGCCAAATAACTTCCTCAAGAATACTGTGTCATGAGAAATACATTGAATTCTCAATCAATACAGTGTGTCTTTCTCAAACCAGATCTACAAACTGAGGTCAAGAACAACTCAGCCTGGAAGAGACAGCAAGTGTTTTCAGCTGGGGGAAGTCTCATTCAGTGATCCTTTCAAAATTTTTGCAGCTTTGAAACAGAAAGGCTGGCCTAGATTTTGAAATATTGTATGATAGATTTTGGATGACATTCGCCTTAAAACATGGCTGAGCAGTTACCAGTTAATTATTGTAACTTTCATACATGTGATAAGGAGCTCCAACAGCAGCCAGCACAAGAGAGCCTGCAGTACACAAAATTAGCATAACTCACTGTGTTCCATGAAAAGTTTAGCCTAGGTGAACATGTTGCAATTACTATGTTTTCTAAAAGAAGGTTCCAGCACGATGTTGTTGGAGGGCTAAACTCATGCTATGCTATTGTTTCTTTTCTTTTTCATGTATTTCTTCTAGCTCTTTATCTGATTACCATCCGGCAAACAGCTGACGCTAAGAGGCTGCAGAGGGCTGAAGAGCTCCTGTCTGCTGTTTGCCTTCAGCTTGAAGCTATTTGAGTGGCTTCCTAAGTCAGAGATAAAAAGAGAAGCTCATAGGCACAACTGTGTTTTAATCCAGGCTGTAAAGAAACTTGCACAGTTTTTGCCTTTTATTTCCATCTGAACTTTTTGCTAACCTTATTTTCAAGTTTTTTGTTCTTTTTAATAACACCTGGGCTGCTTCAACTTTCAAGATTTCTCATCTTTCTTTTTGTGTTTCTCTCCACCTGACTCTGAAAAATGATGGTAATATGTGGGGGGTTTATTTGTTTTTCTTGTTTTGTTTTGCTGGGTTTTTTAAATGAAACTGTGGGGAATAACAGTATTAAATGGAGAAGAATAACACAATAACCTCAATGAATATAAAACATTACTGTTTGGTCGCAGTTTTTCCTGTTTTAGTTCTGTGTGAGGAAAAGTAGATCAGTCTTTTAGGTTTTGGAGGGGCTGGTGATTTTGTGTCGTAAGTGCTCTTGTGCTGCATGCTGTGCTGACAGGTTAGGCAAATTTCAGATCCTGACCTGTCTTCTGATTTTACTCATGTCTTCCTGTCATGGAACTGCATACATGGGTGTATGTGTGTGTCTGTCCTTGTAAGGTGGAGGGGATTTGGATCCTTCTTACCCTTTGGTCACCTGAGACTTTACTGGGAGCCTTTTGAAGTCATGGGCTCTTTGTCTCTGCTGCGATCCAGGTCAGGCCCGTCAGATTTATGTTGCTGGGTATTGTAGCAAGCCGTTACTTGGCAGTTCTATCCTGTGTTGCTATACAGCATGTGGTACTAATCAGTGCTAGAAGATTACTTTGAGATGTTACTATATAGATTTTGGGACTTGGTCCCAGTCACACTTACACTGTATTTTACAATGGGTAAATCAGTTGATTATGTTGAACTTACTCCTACTACACATTGATGTAGATGAGGTCAGAATCAGTCCTGCTCAAAGAATTTATCCAACTTGTCACTTGCTGCTTTCAGCTTCTCCTCATGCTTTAATATTCTAGTGTTATTTCACAATATAGATTTAAACCACAATCAAACCTAAGCAACCTAAGAAGTAATTTTTTTTTTTTTTTTTTGAGGGGAGATTTGTTGTTTGTTTTGTTGTTGGAGTATTATAATGTGCTTGATTTAAGTTGTCGCATGCAGGTGACAAGTAATGCAGGTCCAACCCCTACTCTGATCTGTTTCATGTGTTCTTGCTCTCCTTTTCTGCCAGAGGAAATTCCATCTCTTGCCTGCCTTCATGTGGTGCTGATAAAGCTCTTCCTGTACAGTAGAATTCCTGTTTTCCTTTAAGCAACAGCAGGGTATTGGGAATGATCAGGAAAGGGGAGGAGGACAGGAGGAGAATACACTCAGCAAAGTAGCACTAAACTGTAACATTAAGTTTTCCTCACTTATCCTTTTAAATAGCAGCTCCTCTCTCTGGGAAAGCCAATACCCAATAAATTAGAAAGCATACATGAGTTATGTGACTTAAGTACAGTAGTTCAGCTCTTACTTAGCCAAGTTTTGAAAACTTTGTAAGTCCGCCTTCTGCATTCCCTTTTGTAGTGTTTTATGCATAGTAATGCAGAAGGAATTACACGAAAATCACCAAACATGTTATTTTGTATAATCACCTGGTGGTTGTTCTTGACAATTCTTGTAAGCGAACTGTTAGAGCGATAAATCTAGAAAAGTCTCTTGAAATGTGTCATATCAAGGTGCTAGCTGGGGGTGAGGAAGCATCTTTCCTGGTATATAATGTCTTTCAGAGAAAAGCTGCTTTTTTGCCTCACAACTTTGACTTTGTTGGAAGTTTTTCCAGCATTTAAATGGGTGACAGAGAGGTTAGGGAGTGAGGACACACTCCTCTCCCATGCATGTTCTCCTGTACTTCTTGAAAAAATTTCCCTCCTCTTCTCCCCTTACTGCTGCAGTCAGTCTCGGAAAACAAAGTGTGGGGAGATAGTTTGTATACCAAATATTCTGATCCCAATGAGAACACCTAGCATCATAAACTATGTAGGTAGATACCCTTCCCTCCTCTGCCTCTCCTCCCCCTCCTACTACCCTAAGAAACTAAAAGAACTCCTTAAGAAACTAAACTTACGGGTTTTTTTGTCTGTCCTGAAATATTGTTTTCCAGTACTATTCAAACAATTAAATCCAGAAAACTCTGTGGAAAGTTTAAAAAGAAAAAAATCTGTCCTGTGTTTTAACAAGTAAATCTTTGTATCTCCTCTGCTTGCCTTTGCTGAAGAATTGTTACACTGTGCAAACAGTATAGGTGTTTGGCACATTTCACAAATGCTAATGTGTATACTTTCCTCCCCTTCCTTCCCTCTTCTCCCGGTTTGCTTTCTGTTCTTCATTTGCTATTGGAATGGGAACCGTGGAAAAAATTCCTTGGCACTCTGACACCAGAATCCTTCATCTTGGAGAGACCACGATGATGCAACCTCAACGCACTCGGCAGGCACACCAGGGCCCTCCAGCGGGGGCCACGCTTCCCAGAGTGGAGACAACAGCAGCGAGCAAGGTAAAAGGTCAAACTTTTTCCCTCCACAAAGTAGGCATGACTAAAATAACTCCAGCTTTTTTCATTATATCAGTACATCTGCCTTAGAGTAAACATGGAGTGGCAGACTTGCAGCATAATCAGCTGTAAGTTAGGGAGACGGTATTTCCTTTTCCTAACCCACTTAGCTGAATTTTATTATTATTTCAAAGCTAAATATCTAATCTTCAAACAAGCTTTGTAATAACAATTGATTAGTTCTGCCAATTCCTTTACAAATTTGGTTATCTACAGTTTATTTTTGTGTGGTGTAAGTAAATATAATGACAGACATACTCTCCAGCTGCGGTGCAGTTGTTTGAGTTGAGTTGAGTTAAAGAAGGAGAATTTAACCTGTAGTTTTATATGAGAAAGAGACTTCTATGTGAAGTTATGAAGCTGCTAAATTATATAAAGTAGAAGCAAACCCTGAATTAGACAGAAAAATGTTTCTTGAAATGTTTGCATGTACAGATTTGCTTCTGAAAATCTGAATTCTGAATGGTAAACAGAGAAACACCTGAACTGCAAAACCTCTTTTGTATCTATATGCAGTGAAAATTTCTCAAGGTTCAGGAGGTTTGGTTATTATTTTAGGGTTTTTTGTTTTATTTCCTACTGCATTGCACCTTATGTGTGGTCATATGCATCCATGCTGAGTGAGTGTCAAAGGCTGTCATTCTGTTATGATAGTGTTTTACATGTGCTCAAAAGAAGAATAACTGACTCCAGAAGGTGTAAGAGTCAAGCCCTCAGTGCTAAACGTTGGGTAAAGATGGCCTGCTGTCATCCTTGGATCCTGACACAAGAGCAGATTTTTTTCTTTTTTCTCCTTTTTTGATTTTTTTTTAGTCCAGTTTTACTGGATCAAAGTTTTTTCTTAAACCAGAGTTTAAGGTGGACTCCATTCTTGGTTTTCTTTGCAAACATGGTAAGCTTCTGCCAGTGAGAGAGACATTACCTCTCACCATGAGATGTTTCTCCTACATCTGCAGTGTTTTTCCTGTCTTTTTCCCCACATGCCCAGCAGTGCCAAAGGACAGGGCTGATATCCAGCTAGTCTTGAAGGATCCCAAAACTGGCAAAGGGAGAAACCTTCAGGGCTGAAGTTGCTTTGACTCTTCTCATGCTGCAGATTGACTCCCTCCATGATATTTTCCATGCTTAGACAGCAGAAGAGAGATGTGATTTCATGTCTCTCACATGGCCCACTGCTTGGCACAGAGCTAGTTCCCCTCATCTGCCCGATGATCTGGTGCTGTACCCGTTGCAGTTCTAGGAACTTGCAAAGTTTGTTTCTGGTAAAGTGGTTTGGTTTTGTCTTCTATTTGTAAGAATTGTTTATACATTTGTAATCTTATTGCTGATAGAAAGCAGCCATGGCATAGGGTGTGATCCAACTCCAAAATGAGTCACAAGGATTTTTTGCTGTGGGATTAAATTGGAAATGTACAAGACCCAGCATGAACCATTACACCTTCAATAGCTGACAGGGAGAGCTTGACTGCTAAACACATAATGGTGTTATGTCTCTTGGCTGGCCATAGGCCAGAATACTGTTGATCAAATGTGTAGGTGGTATATTGTAGCTGAAGTGCTTGGCGTTGATGATGATTTGCTTGCTCAAAAATGATTCCTTTGACTGGTCTGCCATCTTCATTCCATCCCTAGGGAGAAAGTTTCCTGAGACCTGTATAGCCACTCTGCTCCAGGAACACCTTAGAAATTAAAAAAGTTCCTTCAGTGAGTGTGCTTGCTATAAAAAAATCGCTTGTATACATATCCAGGGATCCTGCATTTCGTGGTCTCTGATCCCCTGTCGTGTAACTCTGGGTGCTCGGGAAATATTGCTAATCATTAGAAAAAGCAGTGGATGACTACTACAACACTTTCCTTTCGAAACATGTTTCTGCCAATATATATGATTTCAACAAACCTGTTATTCATTTCTGTGGAAGAGGAACAGCCTCTGAGGGGCCAAATCAGTCACCAGTGCTGTCCAGTCCAGCAGGGTAAAACACTGCTAGTGTGTTTCCCTTTGTGCTCATCTGGGCCTTCGAAAAGGGAAGCTGAAGTCCAGTGGCAAATCACCATTCCATTCAGCTGCTGGCAGCTGAAAGATTATTCTACAACACCAGCAGAATTCCCATTGGAGATGGCTCTGGATTGCTCTCACCCTCTCAGTCCTGGGAAGGAGTAAGGAGAGTGGGGTCTGTCTTGAATTTTCTTTAGGTTTTCCTCAGAGGGGCAGAATTAACTTTATAATTCCTGAGCTAGCAGTGAGCTGGTCCCAGACAATGCCAAGAAGGATACATGCCCTCTTGAGCTATTCCAGTGCAGTTACTCACTTCGATCATCTTGGTTTCCCTGCAGTTTTGCCAAAAGCTTCCACAAATGCTGCTTCAAGTATTCCACTTGCCCCAAAGGATTTCTTGGAAATGGGAGCTCATTAGAGAGTCTTGGGTTACATTAGCAACTTACAGTCTTCTCCACTAATGCCTGGTGGCAGCAGAGATTGATTCATCCTGGAGTCAGTCTCTTCTGGCTTTTGAGAGCACTTTTTTCAGGGGTCTCTGCTTTTGCCTTGAGTGTATGATGTGCATCCTATGATATTTTTAAAAAAATATTATTTTCTTTTATTTTTATTTTATTATATTTTGGGGAGGGAGGAGATGGAAAGGATTTGGGTGAGTGATGACTGTTTTTTGCAGACTTTTTCTGCATGAGGTAGATACGTTTATTGCCTGTAAAAATCAACCCATAATTCTTACAGTTTGAAGCGAATAAAAAGGGTGTAGACATTTTGTCTCTTTATGGAGGACGGTCTCTCCACTACAGTGTATGGCTGCCCTTTGGCATCAAAAGGCTTAATCTAGTCTGTGTTTGGTATTATTAGAAACATGCTGGCATTGGAAGAGTTAAGTAAAGGGCCTTCAGGCAGTAAATGTTGAAAGATTATCCTAATTTTATTAGTGGTGAGTGTCTATGTTGTTCTTAGCATGTCACCTCACTTGTTCAACAGAAAACTAAGCTACACAACATATTGATCATCTGGCAAACCAAAGTAGTAGTGATCTGTAATCCACCAAGCAGTTATTGACTTTATTCCAGTTCAGATCCACAAATGCAAATCAATGCTGTATAAGACTATTTTAAAGATTAGTAATTATGTAGTAGTTCCAAACCAGTTTCTCCCTGCCCCGGAAAGAGTTAAATGTATCCAATAATAAAAATAAAACACTCTAAACATCTTACAAAGGAGAAAAAGGAGAAGCTGATTTAATGGTCTAATGAGGCCATCTTCCAGAGACTTGTTTTGTGTAGGGCTTGCTTTGACCTTTCGCTTTGCTCAGGAGCCCAACGCTTCATTTTTCACATTCTTGCAATTACGTTAACGCTTCAAGCATTTCTGACTCCAAGTCAGCTAGCAACACCAGGCATAACTCAACACTGTGAGTTTTTCTCCTCTCTGTAGATTCATTAACAGGTCACCGGGGTCCCAACTGAAATTTAAAACTGACTGGTTCTGTTGGGTTAGCTGAGTTATAGCAAGGGAGATGGCAGGAAAGGGGGTGAGAGAAGGGGAGGGGAAAGAGAAGACCCTGGGGTTTTTGCCAAGGAATATATGTGTAAAAAGTCTAAGTGGAAGATTAAAAGGTGTGTGTAGCTTTATCATCCACCCTTTTCTTTGGAGAGGAAAAAACACATCTGAAAGTCTTCTGGGGTATTGTGTTTTCTTTATTCTTTGTGAAACAAAGTGAAAACAGCCACTGCCTTTACATGAAAGACTAAATGACTTCTAGAATTTGGCATCAGTTTGTACCACAGTGATGGATATGATGCTTCCAGACTTTAATTCCTATTTAATTTCTTTATGGGATATTACAAATAATGAATATGGCAGATTATGCATGAAAAATGGGAAATAAATCTTTTTAAGGTTTAAAAACATGTGGTCTGCAGGAAAGCACCAGGGAATAATTTCAGTTTCATATTTTATGGTACCAGGATTGTATACCTGATCTGTTATATTCACAGTTCACTCACTCAAAGGGCCTGATCCATCCAAGTCATATGGAGGTTGTCTTCCTTCAGGACCTTTCAGGAAGTTCAGCATCTTTTTAGGATTAGACCGGGGGTGACAAACTTGATCATAAGTAAGAAGCCAGAGATTAGAAAATTCTGATAGGTTATAAAGCAGTAAAAATATAAATGAATATCACATTTACTTTGCTTTACACATGTGAGTGAGTAATTTGTTGTTGTGTGGCTTTTTAAGCTTGAGTTTTTTTTTAAAGTAACTACTTGTGCTGAATGATCTGCCCCTTTATAAATAATATCTGAGGCTACTCTCTAGAGCAAATCTCAAAGTAGTTTAGATGCATTTCTGTGCCAGCTTCATGTCTGTCCACGATAGCTTTCTTTGGCAAGGACTCCATAATCTGGTTCAGGACAAAATCAACTAAGATATTAACTGAAATGAAGCATCCATCACAGGTTAACTCTCTGATGCTTGTTGGAACAATTAAGTTGTATTATTTCTTACTCAATATATACCATCCTGTAATATAGTATGTAAATCAAATTTGTTTACAAGACTAGATGATAAAACCCAAAGGTCTATTTTAATAGTAGAAACTCTACTGGCACTACTCAAAACTTAAAATCAAACTCAAGTAGTTAGAAAAAGGAGAGGGATATGTTGATGATAGCAACAATTAAAAAAAAATATATATATTCATGCAAAGTCCTGGGAAGACAATCCAAAAGCTAATGCTACAACTTCTTTTCCCTAGTTCTCTAAGTGTGGTAAGCCTGCTGAAGCTAGTATGCATATTCATCATAAAGATTCAGAACACATTTTTATTCCTTTGTGTTTTTACCTATAAAGCGATAGGGTATGGTTTTATTGGAAGAGAGCTGCCTTCTGTAAGAAAGGAAATTCCTGAAAGGCAGGCTCAAACATCCAGACTGAAAAATCA